CACTGCACTTCTCAGCCTGGACATGGGGTTTTAGAGTCTACTACTGGTTTGTTTTCTGTCCTTACACCTTACCAAGTTTAACCCTGCTGTCTGTGAAACTGTCCCAAGGGGTGATCACTAATATCATTCTGCATTTTTTATCTGAACATGGAATCCATCCGTAGAGATTGTGTTGCTCATTAATGACATTACCTTGTTATTGTGATTCAGCTTTAGTACATGACATCTGCTTTGTCTTTCAGTGTAATCAGCACCAAGACGTTAATGTCCCACTAATTATCTTTCTCCCATCAAATTTCTGGTACACCTAATATGTCAGTATCCATTAAAATCAGGCATCTAGTTTCCCTTCTCATTAATTGCTGTTGAAGTGCTGGTTTAGGAGCAGGTACAGAACTGGCTCAGCTTTCTCTTTTTCTGTGCTGTGTTTAGGTGAGACTTGATTTGTTTACTTGCTGTTTGCCATGTGCTACCTTAGCTTTGCCAGCTACTTTTTTAGACAAAGCAGAATTTTTATTGCTGCATCTCTCCAGGCTGCACCATCATGAGCTGTGCAGAGGACAAGCAGAAGGCATCTCCTACCTCTGCCAGGACAGTCTCTGATTTAAAAAGCCCCCCTGTTTTGGACTGGTAAAAGCTCACTAGCAATGACCATTTTCCTTCTGCAAGGTTTAGCCTTGCCTGTGGTCTCTAAAAAGTCTTGCTAATTTTATGCACATGGATTTCCCCATCAATAAGGACAAAGCAGTGCAATCCAGGCAGTTGCTGCTGGTGGGAATTATTCCATGGATATCACAGCTGAAGTAAGAGAGGTCCAACAGAGCATTAGAATAACTTAGACCAGGTTCTACAGTACCTGCAAGGAGTTTGCCCTGTGAATCCTGCCCTGTGCTGCTGCTGCCATCTCTAAATTTTAAACCAACTTCAGAACAGGGCTCCTCAGGCCAGAGCACCTCAATTCCATGCATGCTGTGAGCATTCCAGGTGTTTGGAAAGTGCCTGAGTCACAGCCCCCATAAGCACCATCCCAAAAACTCTTGGGAGCACCACATTTCCTGCAAACCCCTGTTTTCTCCAGCAAAATGCTTCCAGCATTTTCCAGCCGCTTCCAGCTGATTTCTGCTGTGTATCCCGGCCTTCACTTACACAAGGAGTTGGGTTGGTCAGGACTCCTCATCCTCCACCTCTCCCTGTGTCCCTGTGGCTGACAGCTGACAGGGATGCATTACAGAAGGATGGGGAGTTTGAATCCCCACAAAGCCCTGGGCAGGGGAGGAACACACCTCTGTGTGTATCCAGCTGTCTGTTATGTGGTCAGTGAAGCCATTTATCAGCTCATTTCATGGGACATATTGCAATGTTTTGCTTTCCATTCTCATGCCGTGATTTCCAGACATAATTTTTTGGCCTTGGTTTTTTCCTTTTGAATGTATCCTCCACGACCTCTTGGAAGTTCTCTTGGGCACAGATTTGAAGGAATGGGAAAGAGGATGTAGAAGGTGCACCCCGAAGGTGCAAGGGGAGGAGGAGTGTGGTGGTGTGTTCCAGACTCAGTGGTTTGGGCACCACAAGAGGGACATAAATGACCCTCACTAGGTGGGTTACCCTTCTCTTCAGGCAGCAAAATACTCAGCAGGAACAAAGCTTTGATTAAGTTTTGAGTAGAAGATCCCAGAAGCAATTCAGAACTGAAATATCAGGTCCAGCCTACTGTGACAGTTTCCTTCCAACTCCTTCTGGAAATACTTGCTATTTTACAGCTCACAACTGTAACGAAAATAAGAAAGGAACATACATGGTGGAACCCAACATCTGCTCTGTGAGAGTCCACTAAAAATCCTGTAACCAGCTATTGCCCTATCATTTCTTATCAATAGCAAATGCAAACTGTCATAGGAAAATGTTTTTTCCTAGTTATTATCTACCATCACGAAGCTGATTTTGTTAAGCAGATTTGGCACTAAGAACCAGCAACAGCTAATAAATTCAATGTTAGGCTTACGAGGTTCTGACAGATTGCTGGCAGCTGCCTTAAATGCAGGAAAAAGCTCTCCTAGTGTGGGTTGGAAATGCTTATTTATACCATACTGTGGGTCTGTTTGCCCCAAATTTTGCTGCCTCCTTTTAGTAGATGTCATTGGTGAGATATATGCAAAGGGTATAATAACTGATCAGAGATACTCTGCACTGGAGATCAGCACTAATGGATACAGACGGGAAGCTCAGCCATAAACTATTAGATTTTTACAGTAAGAATAAGACACTTTTTCATTTATGAATGCAAGATCTGTGATAAGGATGGAACTAGACCTGCCCATAGATGATTTTATTTACTGTGAGTTTTGATGGCTGGTTTTTCCATGCTAATACTATTTTAAACACCATGGAGGAATTTTATACTGTCCTGCTGTTAATTGGCAGCGATTCTGGAAGAGATGGGCTGTACAACTAGGCTAAGTTTCTTCTAAGGCCTTTTTTTAGGATGCCTTAAAAGTGGAAGGTGATGTGTTCAGAAGTAGGCACAGGCTTCAAGAGCCTGTATTTGGATTAGAAGTTGGTCAGACAGACAGAGGTGCTCTTTGGATCAGGGAAAACCAACTGAAAAGGAAATTTTGGGAAGCCCGAGTGCTCGTTTGCAGTAACAGACCATGCACTATAGAGATATTTCAGATGATCAAAACCTGAAACAACCAGTTTTCGGTTGTTGAATATATAAGAATATTGAATAAAACAAGAATATGTAGAGGAACTGAGTAAGCTGAAGTCTCGTTGTGAAGGTAAGTTTAGTCCAAAATTTCCCAGTTACACAATGGACTGGGAAACCAGCATTGTTTGTATAATTGAACTCAAATTTTGCTATTCATTGTATTTTATCCTATCTGATTTACTTGGAAGAAGAATCAAGAATCTGTCTTAGGACTCGGTGGAACTGAGTAGCTGATAAGCCTCTGACCATTGAAGTCAATGCTGAGTGAGGGGATAAAGAAATTAAAGGAATAAGAAGTTCTTTCTAACTGGAAAAGAGCAGATTAACTCAAAGAATTATAGAATTCTTCAGTGGAAGTAAATTGGGCATTGTTGATACACAATTTTCTCCTCACATGTGGTGAGAGTTTCTCTGTACAGTACAAGACTGATGGTGAAAATTTCAGATTAACTATGTTGCAGTGTCCAACTTGATTTACAGTTGTGGAATTTACCCTGGCTTTGTTTATGAGCCTGGTGGTCAGCACTTTCCATCTCTGACAAAGCATTGCCCTCTCTTTCTGTAAGGCAAACTTACAGCTCCATGGAAAGACTTCAGACATACACACAATTTTCTTCATAACACAACACCAAAGGAGCCTTCCTTCCTCAAAAAAAGAAAAACAGAATGGTCTAGAAATATGCACTGACATCAGGCAGCAACTCTAAAATTCTCCTGGAAAAAAAAAATGCTGACAGCATTTCACACAACCAAAAGAAATACTAAAAGTAAAGCACTAAATGCTGTTTTGGAAAGTGTGTGGGTGCTGGAGCCAAGCATTATGCACCATAATGAAGTTCCACAGAAAATGGAGAAAGCAGAAAACCACTCCACTGCCTTTGTAACAGACACCTTGCGCTTGCTCTGTCTCCTGGAGGTGCCCTGCTGTGCCCACCAGTCCTTGGGCTGGGGAACCACTCAGGAATTGGATCTTAATGCCCAGGCTGCCTCTTCAGCTCCTCTCACATCCTTATCACTGTCCACTATATCTCCTCTCCCATGTCTCTCCTTCAGGCTGCAGAGTCTCATTCTTGTCCTGGTACAGAACTTTCCAGAACTTTGCTATCCCCATTGTTGTTCTGTGAGCTGCATTAAAAAGGACAAAATACCCCGCTGCATTTTACACCAAGGTGAAGCTTTCAGATGTGTGCAGTCCTCGTGCTCTCTGCTCTGCTCTGAAGTCCTTTTCTAATGCTTTCTAGCAGACAGTTTGTTTTCTGATTGCTGCTGGGTACTGAGCTGCTGGTTTCATAAGAGCAGTTTTGCCCCAAGGTCCCATTTGTGTGTGTGAGATTTAACTCGGAGCCCATTAGCAGCAGTAATCCCAGGCTTGTTCTTCCCTTATGTGCATAATTTATTTGGGTTTGCTTACAATGGATTTCACAGAGGCTCCCTGTGACTGTTCCTCTCACTGCAATACCCTCTGCTTTATTAATGGTAATTGCCTTTCTCTCCGTTTTCCAGCGGATCAGCAATTCAGACAAACTCAGAACAATTGTTCCTTCCGCCACTTACTGCTGCTCCACCACACCTGATGAAGGCAACTTGTACCCAAAATGTTTTGGGATTGTCTCAAGTGATCTCACAAAACATATTGGGCACCTCATGGTCTGTGGGCAGAGTGCTCTGCTCTGTCTGGAGCTGGCAGCAGGATGGGCTCAGCCACCCAGTCTAATGCAACTCTACAAGTGTTTTTTTTCCTTATAGATACTATTTTAAAATATGGGTTAAATTGCTTTTGAGAATTAAATAATTCTCAGTAATTAATTAGGTAAACTCCAATAGCAGGGTAAGGAAAAATGTTTGCAGCCTGCCTCCGTGCACTTGAACATATAATTTTTTAAAAGGGTAAAGCAAACAAACGTGCATCTAGATGATTGCCTCTCACAAAGAGACATTTGGTACTGTGTGACTGCATTCTTCTGATCATAAATATCTTCATGGCCTGAGGAGACCATGTAGCATGTCCTTTCTCAGCTGAGAAAGAAAGGTGTCTATATTACGATATAAATCTGTATTTTCTTGAAAAAAAAATCATCTGAATTAAGATCAGAGAAATGACAGACCTGCATAAACTGAGCAAACAGCTGTCGTGAGCCCTGGGTGTTTGTATCACCTGGCTGTGTGTAATGGGGATGACATGGAGGTCCTGGTGTGCTGAGGGAGGGATGTGTCCCCTGGCACTCCAGCATGACAAGGTACAACATTGATGCAATCTGTATGATGGGGAGAAGCCTTGGCTGTATTGTCTTACCTTTTTCAGAAGCCGGGGCAAGGTCAATAAAACTTCGACACTTCTCACCTTTAAAAGAAAAGGATTGTTTTAGGAGTCAGCAGGTGACTGGTGTTGCTCTGCCCCCTCCCTGGGCTGGGTTCCTGCCACTGCTCCCACCCCAGTCTCCACAGGACCACAGGGCTGTCTCACACTGAGGGCAGACATTCACCTGTGCCTACACCCTGGCCAAACCCACCCTGCTCACAGGGCTGGACCCTCCCTTAGGATTACAGTCCCTTCATCAGGACTGTGGGGTACAGGTAGTGCAGACAAGCCTTCTTTGTTGTCTGAGCCCCTGCTGGGTCAGTGCTGCTCTTTCCCCAGGCCAGGAGCAATGCTGCCCTCCAGATGCAGTGACACAGGGAGTTTTCCCTGCACAGGGGTTTTCCCTGCCCTGGGAGGGCACAGACCTCTTGCACTGACACTTTTGCCCTCCTTCTTCCCATCACTGGACAATGCCTGTGCCCCACAAGGTGGGGGGGAGCATTGCCGTGGGCACAGAGGTTTCCATACACAGATAGGACACGTGACTAGGTCAGACAAAACCTGAAGCACAAAGAAGTTAAGCAATCACATAGCATTTAAAACCAAAATGTTAATAGAGCAGACAAATGCCTTGCTCTGACCATCACAGCCTGTGCCACTCTCTCTGCTTTGTGGCTGCTGCATCCACTTATTACTGCAAATTAAACTCTCTCTGTTTAGGACTCCACCTCTATTTGTGCAGAGAAGCCTATTGCTTCTGAACAGGAAATATATCCTAAGGGTGGATGCTTGGACCTTTCTTTTTTCTTCTTCAGGCAGTCAAAGATCATAAAATAACTCCTCTGCCCCAGGTGCATCCATCCACCGAGGGTGTGTGTTCCCTTTGATGTGATATATTCCAAGGTCCCCAACAGCTCACCTGACTCAAGGAGTCAGAGCTCAACAGGTCTGCCAGGGGTCATGAGGAGAATCCATTTTGCCCTTTAAGACTTTAATTGATGACAAGGCAGCTATAGGACTAGGGATTTTTTAATTACCTTTGCTCATTTTTAATTGCAGAGTCAAATAACTGATTTAGGAAATGTGAGCCATTAAAAAAGAATAAACACTGAAATGCCACGGTGATGGCAAAGTCAGTGTGTAATTTTTTCTTAGTTTTAACACAAGTATATGTACAAAACAATGTAAAATTTTAATTTTTCTGTGGGTTTTTTGGTACGACTGAGATAAACATTCAAATGATGTCTGTGCTGACATAACAATCTATTATTATAATACCATTATTACTGCTTTTAATTTATTTTTGCCATTTTAAACCTATGCTAAATACACCGAGGAGTGTTGTGTACGTAGTCTGTAGTCTATGTACAAGTTGCTGTAAAAGAAAAGGTTCACTTGACTTTGAAATTAACATTTTGGTAGCTCCATGGCAGGGCAAGGATTTCTAGTCTGTGAATCCAGGCACTGCCCAGGGGACAGTCAAGAAAAGGAAGTGACACTTAACCTATCAAAGCACCATCTCTGTGTCCAAAGAGTTCAGTAGGGCAGGCTCTAACTGAGGGGGAGGAATGTCAGATGAAAAAGTTATGAAGTTTTGGGGCAGACAGACAAAAAGACAACTGCTGGATCACAGAAATCCCACCAGCCCAGAAGGGCTGTGTTGGCAGGACCCTGCAGGTCTCCTGTCCAGCCTCCTGTTCCGAGCAGGACTGTCACTGACACCTGCTCAGGGCAACTGTGACTTTTCCAGCCAAATCCTGAAATACTTTAAGGATGGTGTTACCCACCATTTAGGGACTCCAAGCACGGAGTTTCTCCCCTGCTCTGGTCCCAGGGCTGCACCACCCTTCTGGAGAAGTGGCCCCTTATACCCAACCTGAACTTCTCTGGCTGCTCTGGCACCTTTGTAGTCATTCTTTCTCTGTTTTTAGGGATGTGAACAAGCCCAGTTCTCCCAATTTCTTTTCACATGTGCTGTACTTTAGGCTCCTGACCAAGAAATCCAGAGAAATATAAAAACTATAAAAGAGTTCTGGACTATAAAAGAGACTGTAAGTAGGAAACATTCTCATCCAGAGCCTCAGAGTTTTAGGACATGAGGTGTTTCAGGAGTGCATTGACATAAAAACAAGAGAACACAGGGAGAGTGACCTTTAGATTTGGACTTGATATAAGCAGATTAAGCAGGATTTTTCATTCTAGCCATATGGATCTGTGGTTTGGGTCTGGTTTTGTGGTGTGGTTTTTGGTTTTTTTTCCCCTTGTTTTTTTTTCTTCCCCCAGATGTAAGCTATTATTTTTAAGAAAGTTTTATTCTAACCTGACTTCAAGCTAACTGGCTAGCACTGATCATCTCTCACCTCTGATTGCAGTGAATCCAAACCACATTATTGGAAAATTTTAACAAATACCTGACTCTCCACCATGTTATCCCAAGACAGGCAGAGGGGAATGGCATTTGTTACTACAGGAACTGCACAGGCTGTTCTGAGAGCTGAAGTGTTTTGATGTTGCAGACATGAGGCGATTCTCCTGACAAGTACGTGCCATACAAGGGCTGGAAGTTCTGCACTTCCCAGAATTTTCTGAGTTACAGAAAGAGAAGAAAGAATATGGAGGTACGTGGTGCCTTTCAGACACATGGCAAGGCACGGAGCCTTTCTGACACCTGTGGGGACTGAGGAAGCTGATGGTACAAGGGTGTTTGGCTGCAGGTGCCTTGTCTGCAGGACAGGAGGAGAGAGTGTGGTCACAGGCTGTTGGGAGGAATGTGCATCCTCCTCCCCCCTCTAACCAGCTTGCCCAGAACACCATCTCTCCCAGGAGGGATGGTTGTGGTGAGGCCTCCAGTTTAAATAATATGGACAGAAAATGCTGGAGTATCCAGAAAAAGTCCTTTTGGACTTTTTTAGCACAAAGACTGAGCATAGACTGGAGACAGGGAAGCTTGGGAGGATGTCACTTCACATCCAGCAACTGATGTCTGGATTGTGCCTGTCTTGCTGCTGAAGGTCATTGGAAGGAACTGCACACTCAGCTCCTGACACTTCCCTTTGTTGTTCCTGTTGCTGGAGTACTGGAAACCCCTCCTCCATTTTCAATGGTAACCACTGGTGGTATTTATAGACCACATCCATACTTCCCCATGCAGACATGCATCTTACTGAGAACTGAGGAAGTCAGCAGTGCTTTCACTATTCCTCTTAGGATTTATTCTAAGTTATTTTTGGGTATCTTGTATAACTGATCTCTTAAGCCCTCTTAAGTTTAATTTTAGACTTGGCAGAGTTTATCCTGCTGTGCTGTCCTTTTCCAGATGCATCTTCTCCTCCTAACCAGGCTCCTGGAGAATCTTCAGAGAATACAGAAAAAGGCTGTTTAGAGAAGCAACAAGAAGAGTGTCTAGGATGCATCCCTCTGAGAGTCCTGCCTTCACCCATTTCTGGCTGTGATTCTGACAGAGAGGAAAGCCAAGGAATGATCTCTCCTGCACTTCAGTCACATATAGAAGAGCTATGACCTGGCTTGAATTCTCCACTTCCATGCAGGACCAGCGGCTGTGAACAGTGCCTGAGGAGGTCTGTGGAGCTCAGCAGTGTCAGGGAGCTGCTGGAGGCTGAGAGAGAGGACTCACCAACCACCTAAAGATCCATAAGCAAAGCACTTGGCACCAGCTTCTTCTGTGTCTTCCCAAGGGTGAGGCAGAAACACCATCTATGCAAGTTCTTGCAAACACACCTCCTCCTAACCAGACTGGCTCTGCACGGGCTCAGCTGTGTCTCTCCTGGTCTTCCTGAGAAGGGCTGATGGGTCACGGGGTCCTACCAGTCCAAAATTTACCTGTGGTTTTCTCTATTCAATCCTAATTAATTAATCCAATCCTGTATGTGTGCGTGTCTATGTGTAATTGTAACTTGTCAGGGGAAATTCAAACAGAAGCAGCCGGGGGTGGGAGGAGATACATCTGGAAAGACTGAGCTGGTGGGTGGGAAGGAGTTTTGAGGTCTTGATGTGGATAACAGACTTGGAGCCCATGAAAACATCTCAGGGACCATCAATGGGATGTGCCTGTGCATCTCCAGTGGGACAGGGTGTGCATGTCTCAGCAGTGATCTGCAGATCTGCTCAGGCACAGCAGGGAGAGGAGAGAGTTTGCTGCTGAGGGTGATGTTGTTTCTGTGGGTGTTGGTAAAGGCACAGCTGTCTCTGGTGGGTCTGTGTGGTCTGACATGTTGGTGTCATGCCTGTTCACACGTGTGTGTGTGTGTGTGTGTGTGCACCTGCCCCTTGAACACAGGCCTAACCTGCGTGGGAAGGGGTCCAGCAGCAAACAATCAAGGGAGAAGAAGTTCCCTGGGCCTTAAAATCCCTGTGCTCAGCTTCCCAAGAGCGCGTTCAGTGTTCCCTCAGACTTCTCCCATCTCATGGCCCTGCAGCTGAGGAAGATCCCTCAGCTCTGCAGGGCAAATTCTTTCCAGCTCCACAGTAGTTTCTACTGAAGAAAGCTCAGCTTTGGGCTTCTGTGTGTTCTTATGAAACAGTCACAGGAAGATGTGGATTTGATCACTGCATCAGTGCCAGGGACACAGAGAGAAAGATGTGGCAGCACAAGGAGATGATCCTTCTGTATTGCTTTCTGTTGCTCACAACGTGCTGGGAAGTCCAGAGCTTCCAGCCCTTCCAAGTGTGTGGCAGGTACTTGTCAGGAAAATTGTCTCATGTCTGCAACATCCAAACGTTTCAGGAAGGAGTGGAAGGCTGTGTGCAAGGCAGGCACTGCTCTGGCAGGGCTGTGCTCTGGGGCAGGGAAAGGAGCTGGTGAGAGCAGGACTGCTCCAGGGTGGAGGGGTCACCCATGGGTCCTGTCACCTCAGGTAGGTCCCCAGACCTTTCCCTATTGTGTGGAGGTAGTGGGGCTGCTCCCTTACTTTTTCCTCTGGAGAGCCCTACTCCAGGGTCACACACACTTTGGACAGCTGGACTCTGTGGGAGGCAAATGCTTATTCCTTGTGCCTTCCTTGGGCAGAGTCCAGACACAGCTG